GGAAATTTTTTTAAGGTGCTTTCGACAAAAACGTCTTAAAAAAGTTTTTTTTTTGATTCATTTAGAGCTTGGAAAGGAATTTATTTTTAAGGTGTTTTTTAATAAAAACGTTTTAAATAATTCTATTTTATTATTTTTTAAAGAGATTATTTAAGGTGTTTTTTGTTGAAAAATATCTCAAATAATTTGGAAAGATAAGGAAAGGAAAATAATGAAAAAGAAAGTTTTTTAAAGGAAAGAAAATGATATATGTAACCCTTGTTCGGATAATTAAAATTAATAAAAGAAAGGAAAAAAATGAATTCTAACAACATTGTTTGGATAAAGAGTGAAAAAGAAAGAAAATGATTTATTATAATAATTTTTTCTAATTATAACATTTTATTGCTTGTGATTTTAGAGCACTTCTAGATTATGATATGTTTGCTATTTTATCTGACCTCATAATTGTTGCTATATCAATGATTTTTAATCAAGTGAAATAGGAAGATATTTTACAAATATGCATTGATAGATTTTGAGCTAGTCAATCGTATCATAAGTCCAAAAAATATATCTATTTATATTTAACTATTTATCAATATCAAATCACCAAAAAATTATAAAAATTTTTATATTGGAAGAGATATGTGAAATTTACTTGAAAAAATAGATGGCTTTGAAAAAATTACAAGATAATTGTGATCTACTTAAGTTTTCTTATTAAGTTTTTAGTATTAATAAAATGATAGACATAATAATTTTTTATAAAAAAAATATTTGTCAACTTTCTTTTCCCCTTTTTTCTTCCAAATTGGGGTATTAAAAAAATTAGGTTTACAAGAGAAACTAAAAATTATTTGGTTTTCATCTCCTTCCCTTTTTTTTTAAATTAAAAATTTATCTAAACAAGAGAATGGGGTTTTGTTTCCTTTACATTCATTTACTTTCCTTTCCTTTCCTTCCTTCTCTCCCTCAATCCAAACACATTGTTAAATAATTTTGATATATTTTTTTAAAGGAATTATTTAATCTTGGTTAATTATTTAAAACGTTTTTGATAAAAAATGTCTTAAATAATCTTGTTCATTTTTTAGGGATCATTTAAGGCCTTTTTTCAACCCCAACGCTTTAGATGATCGTCATTTAAGGCCTTTCTTTTCCAAAAATGCCTTACATGATAATTATTTAAGGCATTTCTTCAACCCAATATTTTTTAAATAATAATTTATTTAAATCATTTTTTATGTCAAACGCCACTAATTTTTTGGTAGCAGAAACTTACAACTTACTTATAGTCACTACTAGACATGATTTTTAAAATGGTAACAGTTATTTCATATATTTTTTATTTAGATCAAATTTAAAAATAATACAACTTTCCTTGGAATCCTACATACCACAAGGAGAGATGGGTTGCTGATTTAGGACCTCAGGTATTATTAGGAATATGTCACTTTTATCTGAAATCATATTACTTTGAACCAAATATTAAAATGAAATACCTACCAGTAAGATTCCTGAGGAAAAATTTGTGGATTCTTTCAAACCAAATGTCCCCTTAGAGTATTTGCACGAATCAACTGAACTAAACTACAGTTTTTAAGTTGAAGGCCTATGAATTGATAGCAAAACTGTTAAAATGATCCTAGCGTAAGAATAAAATTTATAGAGCACATGTTAAACTATCAAGTTTTGCCTTAAGCCTAACAAAGAACTGATGAATAATCTAGTTTTTTTCTTTGTTTATTTTTCAGTTGACTTATTTGTATTGTTTGACACCACTTCTTCTTACATTTCTTCATCTTGAAATTCTATTTGCACACTCTTTCACTTGATAGCATAGGGTAATGTTTATTTGTGAACAGTTGCCACTAACTGCAAATGCTGTTATTATAAAGAACAAAATGTGCATTGCTACAATCAAATTTATATCTGTATCTGAAAGGCATTCTATTTAAAACTTTGGGATGCTGATGCATTTGCCTTGGAAACACTTCGAAATTGAGATAGTACAATTTATGAATACAAGACCTGTAGTATCTTCTTTTAGCATAAACCATCTTAGATTCTTGGAGTACTGACTTTTCTGTTGCCTGCAGGAAATGATAAGAAAACAGATTGCTAGCTTCTATCTTTGGCCACAAACTCTTGAAATCCCAATTCTTGATGGTTCAGTGTAAGTGCCTGACAAATATCAGATTTAGATTTGTCTTTCTGAGCCATATGGTTATCCTTATTAATTTTCAGTAACATCAAATTGTTAAGACAACATTTGATTCTGCATAATTTCTTGGCTATTCACTGCCATTAGAGTGTGTTTAGTTTCTATTGACTGGATGTTAAAAGGCAGAAGAATCTCTTGCACCCGGCTTTTCACTGTTATGTTGTTAACACGTTAATTGAAGTCTTTTAATTCCAAGCTCCATTGTGTTTATCACTCACATTTTTCATTTTTTAATTATTTTTTCCATCGCCGTAGAGGGGCTACAAAGAAACCTGTAGGCATATTGCATGTGAAGGTTGTGAGGGCGCTCAAACTTTTAAAGATGGACTTGTTGGGATCCTCTGATCCTTACGTTAAACTCAGCCTTAGTGGGAAGGCGGGAAAGGCTCCCGGAGAAGAAAACATCTATTAAAATGAGGAACCTCAACCCTGTGTGGAATGAGGACTTCAAGCTTACAGTAAAAGATCCGCAGTCTCAAGTCCTTCAGCTGCATGTTTATGATTGGGAAAAGGTTTAATATTTATCTGTTTCTTATAATTCATATATAATTTTTTTAGTTGCCATAGTTATAGAAGACAAACCATACTTTCATATAGAATTAGCATCATAAAAAAACTAGACCTTTCTGTTATTTTGCATGCTCTTGATGGAACATAGCAAAGGAGTATTTGAGATATATGCTTTTCTCCTTTTATATTTATCCAAGTATGTGTGATAAAACATAATACTAATGCACATGTTATCAAACAGGATAATATCATTTTTTTTCTGATTAAAGCATTTATCATTAAATGGGTCCCTTGAGGGTCTTTTAATTTTAGACTATAAATGGGATTTGATTTGATATTCAGGCCAATCTCATTTACTTATAACTGATTTTTGGATCATTGGCAATGATTTTGTCCTCTGGTTTAACAGGTTGGGACACATGACAAGTTGGGAATGCAAGTGGTTCCACTAAGATTACTCACTCCTCATGAAACACAAGAATTTTCACTTGATTTAGTCAAGAATACAAATCCTAATGACCCTCAAAACAAGAAACGAAGAGGACATCTAGTGGTGCAGATGACATTTAATCCTTTCAAAGAGGATAATGAAAGATATAGTGGACCTTTAGACAGATATGCAACGAGTGAGAGTGGTGTCGGTAGGTTACCCATACGCGATGGGTCCATTTGTGGAGCTGGTTTGCTTTCAGTTTTGATTCAAAGAGCTGAGGACGTTGAAGGGAAGTATCATAACAACCCTTATGCTCTGATTGTTTTCAAAGGAGAAAAAAAGAAAACCAAGGTATATATATATATATATATATATATATATATTATATATGTATGTAGATATAGAGTTTCCTTTAACACTTTATATCAGTTTGAACTTTTATTTCCAAATCCCTTTTACTGTTTACAAGCACGAGGGGTTCACAGGGACATCATCAAAGTACATAGACATGGGAATATGGAGCATCATACACAGTTGTGGCATCATACAGCTAGAAAGACAATCTTTCATTTCCTTTAATATTGTTAAGATTTTAATATTCTATTTATTATTTGATTTTATTTCATTTAGATGATCAAGAAAACAAGGGATCCAAGTTGGAATGAAGAATTCCAGTTTGTGCTAGAAGAGGCACCTCTGAAAGATATGATCCATATTGAAGTTATAAGTAAGCGGACACACTTTGGTCTCCTTCGACAGAAGGTTGGGACATCACCCTTTCTTGTACTTGCAATGTAATATCAGCCTCTCATCTTTGTGATTTTTCCAGGAATCATTGGGGCATGTGAATATCAATCTTAATGATGTAGTTTACAATGGACGAATCAATGAGAAGTATGACCTAATCAACTCAAAAAATGGTGTGATTTGCGTTGAGATACGGTGGGAAGTGACTTGAAAAAGATCAAATTACATAAAGATTCTTTAATATATGTTCAGCAGGCATTTGTCTCCGCCATTCTTCACTACATGGGAAAATGACTATTCTTTTGATACACAGTGACAAGCTGTTGTGCAAATTATACAACATTTTTTATTGTTACAAGGCACGGCATTGGTGTTGCTTGCTGTCTAGAGATTAATGATAAAGTTTTGAGTGTAATCATTCATCAGATGTAATCTACATAATTGTAATGCAATCAGTTTTTCTGATATGCACAACGACCAGATCACCCGTTTGTTGCTGAATCTGATTCAGTGGCTTGTAAATCTGATAGATAAATCCAGCACAGTTGGCTAAGACAAGACTTGATGTTTGGCTGAGCTGTTGTTGGTGTTAATTTTTCTGTATTGTTTTCGAATTCCAAGTCAACCTTGGAATTTAGGAACATAAAATCAAGAGAGCTGCTGAAAAATGAGCTTAAATTAATTAAGATGTTCACTACACCCTCAAAAACATAATGCTCAAGCCTTTGAAAAATTTAAAATTTAAAATGAATCACTAAAAGTAATGATCTATATCAATAGTCTGTATCTTACCGGTGGGTGTGCCATTTTATTTTGATATTGGAACATACCCGTATTAATGTGAATCCATATTTCGTTTCACATTATCAACTTTTAAATTTTTTTTTTTTTTATATTCATGTTACCAAAATTCAAGCATAGATAACTTCAAATACAAGAAAAATTTTTGAGTTCTATCCGGAAAAATATCTATCTCAGTCTATATCTTATCAACAAAATCCAAAGGCCCCGATCTCATCACATGTAAATCCAAACTTCCAAAGTACGGGACTTGCTCCTCTTAACCCCAAAAAATTATCTTTTCCTATCCTTCTTAATAAATATCTGACCCAAGCTATTCTTCATAAACCCTCTCTTCCTTTTCGCCTTATCTGTTGGGCAAAGCAGAAAACAAGGGCCGAAAAGAAAAGAAGCAATGTCTGCTACATCTACCTCATCTCTCATACCCCCATCTCTCAAACCCAAAACCTTATCTTCATCAAACCCAAGACCCATTTCACTTTCCCTCTTCTCTTTTTCCCACAGGCTCCATGCAAAGCCTCTCTTCTCTTCTGCTCTTCAAAGTTTCGAGGTTTTAACCAAAAGGTCTGCTTCTTATTCTTCTAAGTTTGTTAGAAACGTTGCCGTTTCATCTGAGTATCATCAGGAAGAGGAGCTTTTTGGTAGTGATGATGTAGAAGGGGCTACTAGTTTCTCCCCTGACTTGAAACTTTTTGTGGGTAATCTTCCTTTTAGCGTGGATAGTGCCCAGCTTGCTGATTTGTTTGGAAGCGCTGGAAATGTTGAGATGGTTGAGGTACTTTTGTTTGGAAGTGTTTTGGAATTGGTTGCTGAATGTTGAAATAGATAGTTAGCTAATTGAAGGGCAGTCATGATATAAAGTATGAAACTTCAGAGAGATGTTGTCCTTTGGTCGTTAAATTAAGCATTTATTTGAATTAAAGCACTATAGACCTTATTGCTTAACCTGTTAAATTATGGTATGGATGAGTTTTTTTTCTTTTAATTTATTTCCAGATGAATGTTGAATATTGAAAAGACATTTAGCTAATTAAAGGGTCATGACTCATGATATAGCTTGTCCTTTGGTGATTTAATTGAGCATTGACTTGGATTGAAGCAATAAGGACCTCATTGCTATCATTTGGGAAGTTAAGAAACAAGATGCTCACTCCATTTGATGTGGTGAAATTATTGCTTTTGGCAGGTGATTTATGACAAGGTAACTGGAAGAAGTAGGGGATTTGGTTTTGTAACTATGTCCACAATTGGGGAAGTTAAAGCTGCTGCTCAACAGTTCAATGGCTATGTAAGTCATTTTTTGGGGTCATATGCTAAGAACTTATAGTATTTTGTACATTTCTTAATTGGATTTGCTTTGTTTACATGTCTATTTAAACAAATGTGACTATCCTTTTTTAAGTTTATAGTACGTATCAATGACCATTTTCTTCTTTGTCATTGTTAGAACAGTTTGAAGGTTGATATCATGTTCTGGCTTTAAAGCCCACTGTTGCAAATGAATTTGATCAACATCTGAAGTAAACAGCTTTATTCTTTCTTTCCTCTATTTTCTTCCACATTCTCTCTTGCAGCATAGTAGATGGGAAAAGGGGTGTTTCAGTGGCAAGTGTGCTTAAGCTTTGACTGTATTAATAGCTAATACCCCCATAAAAGTAATCAAGGCATAATAAGTCTATAGTTTTTATCAGAAGTTTGTATCAGGTTATGATAAAATTTTCTTCTGTTTGTACTTACTGGTTGCAGGAATTGGAAGGGAGGGCATTAAGGGTAAACTCAGGACCTCCTCCTCCTCGTAGGGAAGAATTTTCTCCTGGAGGAGCAAGAGCTGCTCCAACTATGGGCGCTTCAAATTGTGTCTTCGTTGGTAACCTTTCATGGGGTGTTGATGATTTAGCACTTGAGACCTTGTTTAGCGAGCAAGGCAAGGTTGTGGAAGCAAAAGTCGTTTATGACAGGGAAAGTGGTAGATCAAGGGGTTTTGGCTTTGTTACTTATAATTCTGCTGAAGAGGTGGACAGTGCCATTAAATCCTTGAATGGTGTTGTAAGTTGATCATTACCTTGATTATTGATGTGTGAATGTTTATAGCAATTTGCAATCAATTACTTTTATTGGATCTGAAGTGATAGAAAATGTAAGATAGGTTCTTTGGCTAATTTATACTGTCAAGTATCATTCATGCGTCTGTCATTCTATGCTTGGAACCTATTGATTTTCATGTGCATGATTTTGTATAAAACTGCTACTTCTAGAAATCTAATAAGTTCATTAATGATTATGAATTACCTAAAATTTTGTTTCGTGCAGGATTTGGATGGCAGACCAATTCGAGTCTCTGTGGCAGAGTCTAGGCCAAGGCGTCAATTTTGAGCGTGATGGTTTCCTACTGGTACTGCTAAATTATTGGGGTACGAGTTTAAATCTTTGGGCATTTAGTCGGTTTTTTGTTATAAAAATTTTTGCTTGCCAGGCTACATTTGGTCAATATTATACTTTCTTTATCATTAATTCTATAACTTTCCCTCATTAATCTTCCTATTTTTACATTTCATCATCATCATGGACTTGGAGATCTTCAGTTTTCAAACCTAAAGCACATGAACTTACTTGTCGACCTTTAACTTATATGACATATCCACACATTTTAGGTTGAAGATGTGCTACACAAATTTTATGTGAAGCTCAATTACCTTCTGTTTTGTTCTCTAACCTCTAGATATTATCCATATAGAAAATTGGTCTTAAATTAAAATTTCATTGCTTATATTAATTTATAAGTTTTGATTAAACTGCATTGTTAAGACTTGCTGTTCTCTTTTTGCCAGAGACGCCTAGAATATGCAGTTGGAAGCTGGCGGCTGCATCCTCTCTCTGTTCTTGGGAATCTGCAAAAATGCTTCTTGTACCAGCTGCTTATGGGCGTTATGACCATATGTTCTTTTCAACATCTGTGCTTAGATTAGAAAGAGCAGATAATGAGCTGATAATATCCATTGAAATATTTTCGTTGTATGTTGTGTCATAATTCAGTTACTGATATGTAGCCGTATGTTTTAGCTCATGGGATTAGAGTTACTTCAAAATTATTGACTTGTTTTGCTACCTTGTATATCTTGCGCTGGAAGAATGCCTATGCTTGTTGAATGAATTGCAGCAAAAGAAAAACCTGGTCCTAGATTCTAAATTTTATAGATGTTTGGATTTGAAAGATCAATAATTTATGGGAAGGGGGGGCACAATGAATTGGATGTGAAAGAGCTTAGGGATGTTTATTCCTAAGGGAAAGGTTCAATCTTTATCCACTTTAGAGTGGTGATCAAGAAGGAAACGGTTTGTCCCGATCGCAACCCCCCAATTTCTTCATCATAACAGTCTTGGTCTTGAGAGCTTAGTGGACTGTTCCTTATTGCTGGAACCCAAACTTCAATATCGGAGAAGAATCCGAACCATGTCAATATTTTTCGATCAGAAAGATCTGAGTTCCTGTTCTGATTGGGTAATTGCAAAAATTAGGGTTACATAGGAATTTTAGGGTTTTTTTTTCCCAAATGAAAATAAAACGATATATATATTTTTATTTTTATTTGGGTAAATAAGTTTTTTTTTTTTTTCTTTCGGTTACCGAGGCAAAAGAACAAAAGCCAAGTCTAAAACAAGTCAAGAAGATCAATGTGAATTTAATCCAAATGAACATTTGCTATGATGCTTATGTTACACATCGACATTTACGTTTGAAAAATCTCACGTTGATAATGTTTCATTATAATTTGAATAAAATAAAATAAAATCTTTATCTTTAATTAAACAATCATCTAAATATTTAATTTCATTTTAAATTAAATATTTAGTCGAGAGCATCAAACTATCGTTTAATTGATATTAACTTTTTATCTCTTTTATTAACATCTATGAATTATGATTATGTTTTTGAAAACCGTGAACATTTGTACTCAATTTATTAGATATTATTTACTTTAACTCGAAAATTTTATGATTTTGTTTCATAATTCGAAAGTCTCACGATTTTGTCTCATAAAAAGTACTTTTTATGGGACAAAACTGTGAGACTTTCAAATTAAATAGATAACACCTCACATAAATACATCACAGGTTGAGTACGAGTCTTCACAAATTTATAACATCTTAAGTAATACCCTAATCTCACATCAAGATAATTTGAAGTTTCGTTATGATATATACGTAGAGATTTAAAATATAAATATATGAGGTATCTTTTATGAGACAAAATCATGAGATTTTTTAGTCAAAACGTACAATACCTAACAAGTTTATCCTACAAAAAGTGCCTCATAAGTTTTGAGTTTAAGTTTCTACATATATATTATAGTAAATCTTTAAAGCATTTTGATATGAGATTGAAGTGTCACAAACTCCTCTGTTAAAAATTGACATATCAATCAAGTCTAACACAAAGTACACAGATCCACCGAATCATATCAATAGTAAATCTTCAAAGTATCTCGATGTGAAATTAAAGTGTCATAAATTCCTTTGTTAAAAGAATCACACTAATAATAAATCCTTAAAGCATCCCAATGTGGGATTAGAGTGTCACAAAACTTAACTCATGCAGTATTCTAGAGGTAGCTCACATGGTGTAATACTTAGCTTTTGTTCGATTATTGATTGCTCTGATACCATTTATGGAAACTCATACCCAATCTGTGAAAGCCTAACACAAAGTGCACACAAATCACACTAGACGTTGAAATTCTAGAGGTGGCTCTCACCATATAGCACTTAACTCTCGCATAATTTTAGAGGTGGCTCTCATGATGTAACACTTAGCTCTCATCCAACGGATAACTGTTTTGATATTATTTGTGAAAATCGTACCCAACTTGTGAAAGCCCAACATAAAAGCATACATAGATCACACTAAACGTAGGATTTCTACAGGTGGCTCTTACTGTATAACACTTAACTCCCGCAAGATTTTAGAGATGACGCCCATGGTGTGACACTTAGCTCTCGTCCGATTGGTGACTGTTTTGATACCATTTATGGAGACTCGCACCCAATTATTCTAATACTATTTGTGGATATTCGTACCCAATTTGTGAAAACCCAACACAAAGCACACATAGATCACATCAAATGTTGGGATTCTACATGTGGCTTCCACCATATAGCATTTAACTCCTGCAAGATTCTAAAGGTGATGCCTATGGTGTAATACTTAGCTCTCGTCCAACTGGTGACTGCAAGATTCTAAACACTTAGCTCTCGTCCGATTGGTGACTATTTTGATACAATTTATGGACCAAACGTTGGGATTCTACATGTGGCTCCCACCGTATAGCATTTAACTCTCGCAAGATTCTAAAGGTGGCACTTATGGTGTAATACTTAGCTCTCGTCCAACTGGTGACTGCAAGATTCTAAACACTTAGCTCTCGTCTAATTGGTGACTGTTTTGATATCATTTATGGAGACCCACACCCAATTATTTTGATACCATTTATGAACATTCGTACCCAATTTGTGAAAGCCTAACACAAAGCACACATAAATCACACCAAACGTTGGGATTCTACATGTGACTCCCATCGTATAACATTTAACTCCCGCAAGATTCTAAATGTGGCGCCCATGGTGTAATACTTAGCTCTCATCCAATTGGTGACTATTCTGATACCATTTATGAAGACTCACACCCAACTTGTGAAATATTGTCAACGTATAGTACTTAACTCTCGCAAGATTTTAGAGGTAGCTCCTATGGTGTAGCACTTAGCTCTTGTTCGACTGGTGACCATTTTGATACTATTTATGGAGACCCGCACTCATCCAATTGGTGACTGTTCTGATACCATTTGTGAAGACTCACACCCAACTTGTGAAATATTGTCAACGTATAGTACTTAACTCTCGCAGGATTTTAGAGGTAGCTCCTATGGTGTAGCATTTAGCTCTTGTTCTGGTGACCACTTTGATACTATTTATGGAGACCCGCACTCAACTTGCAAAATATTGTTCGCTTTGATTAGAAGATTTTATAGTTTTATCTCATAAAACACACCTCACAAGTTTTGGATTTAAACCTTAGCATATATATTATAGCAAATTCTCAAAACATTTCAATGTGGGATTATGATATTTCAAGAATGACCAAGATTGTTAATATTGCATTGAATAATATTTCGATTTTGTTTAAAAAAATGGTATATATTAATACACATTGTTTTGATATGTTATTTCAAGAATGATCAAGATTGTTAATATCGCATTGAATAATATTTCGATTTTGTTTAAAAAAATGGTATATATTAATACATATTGTTTTGATATGTTATTTTGGATTTTTTTAATTTAATACAAATATATTTATAAATATATATAAATTTGTATCTAATAATATTTAAAATAAATATATAACATCTTCAAAAATCAAATAAATAAATTTAAAAGTATAAAAATAATATTATCAATTTATCATGATATTTTTAAATATTTAATTTGATCATATAATATTTAAATGAGTATTTTTAATGTAAAAAATTATTAAAATAAAAATAAAGAGATGAAAAAAATTAATTTTGACTTTGAAAATTTTAAACTTTAAAGAAAGAACATAAATTTTTTTTTGAAAGAAATTGAAATATTTGTAAATTTTGGTTTTAAAAAATAAAATATAAAAAAAGTGTAGTAAAAAATAGAAAAATCTAACTTTCAAAAGCTTATTTTGTGCATTAATTTTATTTTTATTAAGTTAAAATAATCAAATAATAAAAAATCAATTAAAAATTATAAAATATATTTTATATTTTTTTATCAATCAAAACAAATTAATCTATAAAAAATAATTAAAATTAATAAAAACAATCGATATTACTTAATATCAAAAAAACAATTTTTAAATGTATCATTTTTTCACATAACTGAGTGTGCTGACCTATGCAACCAATATTAAAACGAAATTAGCAACACTGAGAACAACTCAAATCATTGGGTCATTTGGGGTGGGATTTCGTTTCTATCGAGGATGTCCTATGCCTGACATGGATTCAGATGAAAAATTAGAACTTCTGGCAATTTTAGGGTCAAGCGCCTACCTCAATCCGTATGGTTTGAAATTTCATAAATATATCATTTATAATTATTGTATTATAATTATCTCATTATAATTTAAAAATATACATACAAGTGTTGGATTTTTATATAATTTTTTTAATTATAATTAGATAATAGTAAAATTGTGCATGGAAAATGTCTTATATTTGTATAGTTATGTTTTTAACTCTAGAATAGCTAAGCGCACTTGATTCATGCTGAAGTTTACCATCTATGCTCTTTCGCAGTAACAGCCTCTTCATATGACAGGAACATGGACGGTGACAAAGATATCCACCAAACATATTGGTTTCCTTTCTGTTTTCATGTTTCTCTAAAGAACTCTTGCTTTCTGGTTGAGGCACACGTATTTTTTGAAAGTGGCTATAGAGATATTGTTGGAGATCATTACAGTTTTGATATTATTTATCGGATTAAAAATTTCAAATCCAATCACACCAGTGAAAGTAAAATCAAATTATAAATCAAATACATAAAGATAATAATTTAACGTGATTCGATCCAATTAACCTACGTCCACGAATGAGAAATAAAATCTATTAATTGTAGAGAATTACAAACATACATCAAATCATCAACCTCACTCAATAATCAATACTCATAAGACACTTTCAATCTCCTTTAATTCTATGAAGTATTCTTAACCCAAACAAATTTAAACCCAAACTTTTGTGTACCCTTTCAACATAACAAAATATATACCTATATGTTCTCATACATCATACCTATATGTACCCTCTCAATTTTTTCTAGTCTACTTACAAATAAACATACACACCAACATACACACCCATAAGAGGTAAAACCCAATACTTTTATGGGATGTCTATCCCACAAAACCCTATAACTCTCTTACATCTTTTTTTCACACTTAAGATTGTAGAGACTTCATCTATTATAATCATATAAACTTGCCCATTAAGAATCTCTCTCTTCTTAGAATTTTTCTCCTGTAAATCAAACTTATCTATTAATAATCTCTTTCCTTTTAGAATTTTTTTCCTATAAGTCAAACTTACCTATTAAAATTTTTTTTTTCTTAGAATTTTTTTTTTGCAAGTCTTTTTGTC